AAGAAAGAGAAAGAAGAGAAGAAAGAGAAGAAAAAGGGGGGGGGGGAGAAAGAGACAGAAAAGCTTTTTCGACAGTGCAATTAGCAAAATCGGCGAATGGGATTCAGGATACGCGAGGCAGAGAAAGGATGGAGAGAGAGCTGGCTGCTTGCATGCTGCGTGGGATACGCTAGATAAGTCGCTGTTTGATAATTTGGACTAGAGTATTTACCGTGTGCCGGATAGAAGTGAAGCTTGTGTCGCGGTCGGAAAGGCTGGCTGGCGTATATAGTGCGGATTCGAATAGTTTGCTTAGATTAGATTAGATTAGATGAAAGGTTGAGAGAGATGGAGGGGGTTTGAAAAATAGAATAGAATAGGATGGTGGTTTTCTTGGGGAGGGGGGGAGTTGGATTTGGATTTGGATTTGTGATTATTGCGTTGATCGAGAAGTGATACCTACCTAGCTGAACGTCTCTTGTTGGTTTTGATGTTCTCGCTTAAGTGGCTAGCGGTAGTTGCCTAGTACGTACTGTAGGTAGCCAGGTAAGCCAGGTAGGCAAGTAGGTAAGGTAAGTAGGTAGGTAATCACGACGGCATTATTGAGAGAAAAAGAAGAAGAATTCTATATCTCAACTCACTCACAAGCGAGTCAGTGATTAAATGGTTCTCATTTTAAATTTCAAAGCACCCCCTCCCCCCCCCCCCCCCGGAAAAGGCGCCTCAAATCGATAGTCGAAAAGCTATCTAACACGTGATTAACGTGCGTTAGAATCTCTTTTTTTAAAAAAAAAAATGATAAAATAATCGTCATAATCAAATTTATGCTTCGCATCGCTTTCGCTGTTCTCATTATACTGAGCAGTAACTCCTACGTACGAGCCGCCAACCAAACCCTCCTTCTACTCTAGACTTCGGGACGTGAAATTTCCCATTCCCAATCCCCCAATTTTCCAATTCCCCAATTTCCCATTTCCCCCCCTTTTTCCCCTTCTTTAACCCCCCAGCCCCGATCCAATGCCGTAGAAAGCTAACTAACTAAAGCGATCCGGACAGAGCCACGGGGCCTAGATCAGACGACCTGTCTGTCACTCGCCGGCTCGCCGACTTCCCCGACGCCAGACGCAGCAGCGGCACTTTCACCCACCCAAACGTTTTCTTTTCGAATCATCATAGATGCATCGTAGATGGAGAGAGGGAGGGGAGATCACGGAAGAGAAGAGAAGAGAAGAAAAAAAAAATTAGGATTTGGTTACGGGTAATAAATTCTGATTCTATTCCCCATCGTTGATTTTTTTTTATCTACCTGTTGCCGTCTTGATAAGCATCCGTCTTCTTTTTGGTTCGAGAACAAGTCTGGCTTGTGTAAATTAACGTCGAGGTCTGTCCCGTGTCTTATATGTATGTATATATATATACGAAATATACCTCCTCACCTTTCTGCGCTCCGTTTCCATTTTGGCACTTCACTCCCTTCTTGCTCTCTCTCTCATTATCAGTATCATCACCATCACTACTATAACTACCACCATTATCCCAAATATCAAAATCAACAAAAGAAAATCCATGTCGCATCCTTACAGATCCAAGCCGTCAGGCATGTTATACTAATATCGCTCGATCTCCCTCTCCCATCTCCCAAAAATCTACCCATACAACTCACCCCCACCCCCTCTTACGCTACGACCGTCAAATCCCGCCTCTCCCCCCTCATCCGCGTCTCCCTCTCCCTCTCCCTCCTCCTCCCCTCCAAAACTCTCATCGTCGTAGAAGCCCGCATCTGAAAAATCTTCCGCCCGCGCATCCAAATCATAACTGCTGGTGCGCATCATCGGCGGCGTTGTTACGCCTTCTCTGCCTCCCACACCCATCCGGATCCCGGCCCCCTTGACGCTATATTCCTGCCCCCCAAGCATCCCGCCTCCAAACGTCCCTCGCTTGAAATTTCCGCTGCCGGCTCGCAGACCGCGCGTCGTGTGCGTAGTTACCGTGTTAGCGGTACTAGTAGTCGATTTGGTGGGCGAGCCGCGGACGGAGTGGGATTGTCTCGAGCCCGAGGGTAGCGGTGGGTTCTCTCGAGAGCTGGAGCTAGGTCCGTTGTTCATACTTTGATTTGGGTTTTTTCGATCGAGAGGGCGAGCTGAGGGGTTGCGTGGGCGATTGGCTAGCTGCGCAGATGTAAATCTCTGCCCTGTGCTGCCGAACGCACTTGGCTGTTTCCCACCACCACTCTCGCTCCCAAGCGGGTCACTTGTGCGCGGAGTCGAGTTCGCAGGAGGTGTCAGGAGTCCAGTCAACAAACTTTGGTTGCCAGGCGAGTTCGTTCTCAAGGGCGTAGAGGACCCGGATCCGCCATCGACGTCCACGGCCCGTCCCTTCCTCCAGTTACCCCATACCGCTGCCAGAGGTCCCACAGCCTGAGCGACCCTAGGTGATGCGACATCGCGAAGACCCTTCGCGATACCGTCGACTGTATACGACACTGCAGACCCGCCATTCATAGCCCGCTCGCGCTCCTGCTCTTCCATCTGCAGGTTCGCACGGAGACGGATCGCAGCATCGCGTACGCGGTCGGGATCGTAGCGCCCCGTCTCCAATGCGGACACAATATCCGTGAGGTCGGACTTGCGAACAGAAAGGAGTTCGCGGAGCCAGATTATTTCATCGTCGCGCTTCTCGATCTTCTTGGGAGCCTCGGGATCAGCAGTGCTCAGCTGCTGTTCCAAGTCTTCAATTGTGGACTCTCTGGCCTGCAGCTGCTCTTGCAACACCATGATACTCTCTCTCAGCGCCTGGGGGGAGATTTTCTCTGGCAAGTCCGAGGACTTCGCAAGTGTTCCATGCGCAGTCGGCGAAGACGACGACGCCGATCTGGCAGTCTTTGCAGCGGAAGCAGCAGCACGTGCCGCCTGGCTCGCCACTTCCAGCTTGTCCTCTAGGTGTGTGACGCGATCCTGCAGATGCTCCGTCTTCGCACTGCTCAAGCTTAGTCTTTCAAGCAGGTGCTGTTCATGTCTCTGCGCATCCTCGACTGCATTGCTCAGCTGGCGCTCGTGCTGCGTCTGCAGGTCCTCCAGCACATCCGCATGTTTCATCTTCATCGCATCGAGTTCGCTCTGCTTGGAAGACTCGGCCTCCTCGAGCAACATCTCCGACTTGGCACGCGTAGTATCCGCATCGAGTTTGACTTGGTCGATCTCAGTCCTGAGACGCAGGATCTGGTTTTCAAGGTCCTCCCGCACGACGTTGACTTGGTTATTCGCCGTGTCGACCTCAACTTGCATATAGTGCCTCGTGCGCTGGACCTCACTCATCCCACTCTCTCTCGCCTCCTCAAACTCCCGCTTGTACCGCATGCTCTCCCGCTTCACCTCATCGTTTTCCTTCCGCAAGTCATCGAGCACCACAACCATCTTCCTCAAATCGCTCACCGCCCGCATGCCTTCTCTCTCTCCCTTCTCCAAACGCTCAATCTCCTGTTCCAGCCGCTCGCGGGTCCTAGCTTCGGCCTGGAGACGGGCGTCGAGGACCTCCTGGCGTGCAACAAGCTCGGCTTCCTTCTTGGCGCGACTAGCGTTCTCCGCGGTAATGGACAGGGCAGCGTTCGCCAGCTCGGCCTGCACCTCGGTTAATCTCCCTCTCATACCCTCGCGGACACGGATACTTTCCTCCATCTGGGCGCGCAGGCTCTCCAAAGTGCGTCTCAGCTCCTTGTTCGTCTCGTTGGCCATCTCGGCGTCTTCGCTGTGGCGTCGAGCTCCCTCGATGATGCGCTCGGCTTCCAGTTGCAGGCGGTGGATTTCCAGTCTGGCATCCCGTAACTCGCTCCCCGTCATGGCGTGGCGATTTTGCAGATCTCCAAAGGACTTCTGCGTGTTTTCGTGGCTGGTTTCGAGCAGGGCGATCCGCATTTCAGTCTTGGCACATTGCTCTTCCGCATTTCTTACCTTGGCGTCGCTGGAATCGATGATTTCTCGAATCTTTTTCTCGCGCTCGTCTATGGCTTCCCGGAGACGAGTCTCCTCTTCGGATGAAATGCGCAGCAATCTCTGGACTTCGGCTAGACGGTCTTCGGCAGCACGACGCTGTTTCGTTTCCTCCTCAGTCCGCATGTCGGCTCGAAGTAACGTCTCCTCTAGGTCTGTTGAGCGATAGCCCGTATCGCCATCAACACGCATGAGACGCTCTTCTAGCTCTGCGATTCTTGCAGTAAACGAGGCTTCACGAGCTGCCTCATCAATATACTGAGAAAGTGGTTTCGGCGAAACGGGAAGACGTTTCCCCACCGCGTCTTCCACAATATTGCGTATGTTCTCTATCCGTAGATCATGACGCATCGACGATCCAAGCTGCTCCTTCATCTCCTCAATAGCCTGTAACAGAATCTTCGAATCAGGCTGAGCGTCCTCAGTCCCAGTAGCTGGTCTCGAACTCTGATGCGAAGCCAAAGCCTCGACAACAATGGCCTTGATCCGATCCAGCTTCTGATTCCGCTTTGGACTCATCGATCGTCTGGGATTTTGATCGTCATCATCCTCGTCATCCGCGTCACTCAGTGCACCAGAGATACTGCGTCGTTCTCTCCTCGTAGACTGTCCCCGCGCAGCCATCATGTCAAGCGACATCTGGATGTTCTCCAGCGTACGTTCCAGGGGCTCGATACGCTGAGATAGCAGCCCACCAACGAGATCGTTGACGTGATTGTCGAAGAACTGTGCTCTCGGCTGCAGTTTAGCCTCCTCCGTATCGCTCAGCACGTCGTCCCACTCGCTGGGTGGCAGGCTGTCCATCATATCATTCGCGAGACGGAGCGCTGCCAAGTCCTCGGCGACGAACGGATCATCGTTGACGCGTGAGAAGACCCGCGATTGTCCAGGCAGAGGTTGGAATCGTCGGGGACTGGGGCTAGGCGCATCGCTACGCATAACATTTTGAGGCAAGAGTCTGATAGGCGATGAGTTTTCCATGTCTGGCATGTTGATATGACGCGGGGGATCGGCGTGGTAGACTGTATCCTGTCTAGGTACAGTCTCTGCTTCGTTCATCAAGCGCATGACCTCGTCAATGTCTTCCAAAGATTGCTCTTGGAATGACTCGCCAGGCTCTATCTGTAAGGGATAAGGAGACGGACTCTCGACTTGTGGAATAGCAGCTTGGAACTGTGCTTGTTCATACGGTTGCATATGTGCCTCCGGGGACTCGGCCATTGGTGTGGGTATCCTGGGAGCCGGGCTTGGACTTCTGGCATACTTCGAAGCAGACAACCCGGCACTGATACGCACAGGCGGCGGCACCGGAGGTACAGAGACTGCCTTGGGAGCCGACTCGGACGGTTGTCCGAACGAAAAGTTGAACGCTCCAGGTCTGAACTCAAATGGCTTAGCCTTGGCGGACAGCGAAGAAACATTCTGTTTATGTCCCTTCCCCTTCTCCGGCTCCTGCTCAGGGCCAGCAGGTTCGCCTCCTGACTCATCGAAGATGCCGTACCCGGGCAGACCGGAACCGTACTTGCTTGACGTGAAAGGTCTGGCTGCGTTGAAGTCCTCCGCTTGTTTTTTCTCATGGAACTCCCAGGGCGACCAGTCTTTACCTCCCACATTCTCGGTAATTTCGCCTTCCTCGAGCGAATCTTCGTCAGGAGCCGAGTTCTCCTTCCCAGCCTTTACATTAGGCAAGCCTGCAGTAGTGTCCTTAGGCGGGCTTTGTCCGCGCGAAGTCTCGCGGAGTGGCATACTAGGCTCCGCAAACAACGGTATGGAGTCACCGTCGTCCTTGCTGCCCCTCGCTCGCTTAAACCGGCCCCCGCCCTGGGTGATTCTACCGTCTTTGTCTTCTACGTCTTCATTCTCGACAGACTTGTGGCTGCTATCCGGTCTGACGATCGGGATGGCTTTGTTCTGCTTTACTGGCTTCGAGATGCCCAATGTGGTGAGATCAATATCTCCAAAGATGGAGGCGTGGGGCGCCTCGCTGCCGGCACCGACGGAATCAGGGAAGGTTGTCAGGGGCGTGAAAGCAGGGGCATCGGGACGGAATGCTGGGCCCGAGGTAGAGAAGTTGAAATCCTTGTGTCCCGGCGTAAAGGCTGGGGCAGATACATTAATCTTACTCTTCGAGCTTGAGCTCGCAATAGAGGGGTTGCTGAAGTGGCTAGATAAACCAGAGACAGGATTCTGGAAGGGCGTGAAGGTGTTGGCAGGGGACTGGAAGCTATTTAAAAAGGAGAACTGGGTTGGCTTGAAGGCGTTGGCGGGATTGAAGGTAAACTCCTTGGCCCCGACGTTAAGGGTCGACGTTGAGGCTTTGATAGAGTGGCCGCGAGCATGACCCGTGCTGTTTTCGGAATTGGTAGCGACCGGGTCCGCCCACGGGTTGCTGACTGCGGAGAAGGATCTGTCATGTCCGCTGGCAGACGGCTCGGTGCTTTGGGCTGGGGTGCCGACATTGCTTGGAGCCGTCTCGATATCCGACAAATCTGACCTACCAAGCCCCTTAAGCTCGTGCGCGCTCTCCTCGCTTTCCTGGAACGGCCGCTGAGAAAGTGAATGCCCTCTGCTATGCGGCTGAGGATGATGCAGGACGGGACCATGGGAATCCACGTTCGCAAATCTCGAGGCGGCAAGACCCCCTGAAGAGACATTCCTCGTATGATTGGTGATGGTTTCCTGCGGAAACTTATCCTCATCCCTGTCAGAATGAGGACTGTAATCATCATGCTCAAGCTCCCGTTGCATCTGCTCTTCCAGATGATACTCCGCGTCGTCGATCTCCTTTTGTAGATCATTAGGATTATTTCGTTCTCTTGCCTCTGGAGTCTTAGACGGGCTCTCGGACGACACCTCATCCTCGTCCATCTCTCTAACCTCTTGCAATCTCGGGGAAGCCCTCGCACCACCCTGCATCGAAAAATGCTGCGTCTGCAAAAGCTGCTGCCGCTGCTGCATCTGCGACATGGCATCGCTAGCTGGAGGAAAGTACCCTTCTTGGGAGAACGGCGACGCAGGCGAGACCACCGCCCCTAAATTCTGCAACGAAGGCGAGCCTCTTCTCCCTCCAGCGCCTTGCGCATACAGCATATGTTGCGGCGACCAGACCCCAGGCGAGTTCTGCTGTGGGTATTGGAACGGCGAGCCGAAGGGGTGTTCGCTACCTCCAAAGGAGATGGATTGGTTACGAGAGTACTTGCCAGGCATGTGCATTGGGCCTGGCGATGCTAATGATCCAATTCGGGTATGCATGGAGACGGGAGAAGCTATGGAGCCGGGATTTGAGCTCTGGCTTGCTGACATCCCGGCACCGGGGACTAACATTGGGGAGAAGGTGTTTTGCTGATGAGCTAGGTGACTGCTTGCCGCAGAAGATGTGGGTAAGGGAGGTGAAAAGGGAAGTGTCGGGTATTGCATTGATGTTCTTCGCCCGTGGGGGTTAGGAATCGCTGGGGAGATGGCTGGACGCTCCTCTTCAAGGGCTCCGAGGAGAGCTTGGAGTTTAGCTTCTTTCAGGCCATCGACGTAGGCGTCCCATTCTAGATTTTCCTCGTGTTAGTATGGCGTCCGGTAGATAGCTGTAGTAACTCTGATATGACAGATATTGTCGGGAGTTTATATCGTCAAAAATTTCAACCAACTAAGACATTACGTTGTTGGGCGAAGCCACGAGTTCCAACAGGAATGACACCTCAAACATTCCACAAAATAAAGCACAAGCTCACCTCTGCGATCAGGGATGCTGACCCTGTAATTTTTCTGCATCCTCTCATTCACCACATCGTGGCCCAACGGCCAGGGACTGCGACTCTGTCCCTGACTGCCCTCATCAAGATTCCCTTCGGGCCCAAGATTGAAGCCCGCAGTATCGTAGCCAAGATCCTCCCACGACTTAAGCATAGCAGCCATTTCCGTCTCGTTCAGTGGCGTGGGCGCCTGACCCTTCGACTCCCTCTCATCCCACGGTAAGAGCACCGTAATATTCTTCCCCTTCCACGGCAACTTCTTCTTCACTCTCGGCGGCCCCAGGACCGGCGTCGCGGATTTCACTGCCGCAGGAGCGGCTCCAGCGGCATTCCACTCCTTCGGTGGAGGCGTAGGCGGTCGATCTACCTCCATCTCTGCTCCGTCGTTTGCGAGCGACATCGTCGGAACCGCGTGGTCCAGGAAATCGTCAGTAAAGTCCTTCTGCGTCAGCGTGTCCGTCGTCGCCTGTCTCCTATGCCGTGGTCCCTGCTTCCTCCCCTGCGCCTTCTCCTTGCTCTCCCAGAATGTCTTGAGGGTCGGGGTCTGAGGATCGGTGTTGTTCTCGCCCAGCCAGTCGGCGGATACGACAGATCCACTGAGCGAGGATCGCCCGCTGTCACTGAGCCAGTGGTTACGCTCTGCCTGTTCACCTCCCGTGTGCTGCCGGATCCAGTCCTCCGTCAAGCCGGTCGCTGGCCTGCGTGCGCGGTTTGCGAGAACAGCGGCGCTAATGAGGCCGTCGTGCGAGACGAATTCAGGATCGCTGTGGAGCCGCGCGAAGGTTGGCGCGGGGCGCAGGAACGGCGTGTGGAATTCGAGATGGCGGATAGGAGAGTCTTCGGAGGTCTCACTGGAGAGGGTGTTGCTGTGGCTGTGGGAGATGGTGCGAAGGGACCGGATATCAGGCTGCTGGTAAGGAGAGCCCCAGCTGGCGGTATAGTAGTGCGAGCTGCTGCTTGGAGACCCGGAAGGCGTCCTGTTGGGTCGAGGCTCGAATGTGCGACCGCGAAAAGTCGGTGCTGGAAGTGGTGGGAGGATGGGGGAGGAGCCTAGGCTCTCGTCGACGGTTGAGCTGGTCGAAAATCCAGGCGAGCCTGATGCTCCGGGCTGTTCTTGTCCCTGGCCTGGGCCTTGCTGCCCCTTTTGCTCTCCCAGCCGCTCCTGTGGGAGGCTGGCGTATCCGTCCTCTGCCGCTTCAGCGGGAGGCGGCGATGATCGCAGGGAAGAAATCGTTTGGATATCTGCTGGATAGGGCGCGTCAGTGCTGTCATTCTTCTTCCGTGTGGGCTGTCTGCTTCTGCGTGGAGGCCGCAACGGGGGAGTCATCTCGCACCCAGCAAACACCTGGGTGATCTGATCTGTCGGATGTACAGGGCAAGATATGTTTGCAGGTGATGCTCGAGTCTGCGATGCAATCTGCCGCTCGGAAGTGAATGCCAGCATCCCGAGTCGATGCCCGAGATGAGCCTCATTCACCCAGCCAGCAGCATCCCCGTCGCATCCTCTCGCGTGGGCCCCCAACACACCCGCAGATCCATTGACTAGAATAGAAGCCCAGTGCATCTCTCTTGCGTGCTCGTCTGTAGGTATCTTGCGGCCTCTTCCGAGCATTGCAAGCCACTGCACTCCATCCCTCTCCTCCCGTTGGGTCAAGGGGCTGCTGCACTTACCACACCGAGACCAGCGCAGACGAATCTGTCGTCTACCACTGAATCTCTAGAAATCTTCTGCCCTATATCGTCCGGGCTTATGCAGTCTGAGTCTGACTCTGTCTCTCTCAGTCGCTTGTATCCGTCTGTCCCTCTCTTCTCGAAAGCAGCCCTAACTCCTGAACCCGAGCCTTCCTTGCTCTTGTCGTATCGGACTCGGTCGATGGAGGAGTTCAGTTCAGTATAGGATGATGTGAACGGCACGCGGATCGAGTGGAGAGGAAATAAGTCTATAATTAAACAAAAGAGCAGTGGCAGCAACAGCAGCGGTGGGTAGTAGTCCGGAATCAAAGGAGTGACATGACGCGAAAGCTAGAAAGGCAAGTCAATTCAATGGGATGCTCTCTCTCTTTCTTGCTCTCTGACAGATTAGCATAACCGAGACATCCGGTGTGATGCTGTGCGGTGTGGTGTGGTTGTGGTGTTGATAGCAGAAGAAAGCCGTTGAGCTGAGATATGACAAGAAGTTCGCAATCCTCAAGTCTCCTGCAGATGCCACCTCATCATCCTTACCAGAGGCGCTCTAAAAAAAAAAATCTCTTGCCGGGATGTAACGGCCGCACTGTAATTGGAGTATGCTGCTATGCCCGATACGGCTAGACGGGCTCTCCTCCTGGTATTTATTTCAGGGGGAAGGGAAATGGCGGGTATCGGGGAAATGGAAATTCCCGTGATAAGGGATGAATATGAGGATGAATATACGAATATTAGTATGAGTTTTGAGGGCAAGGAAGGATAGAAGCATATAGATGGATTGATGGACAGATCGAACGGACCGGTGCCTTCATTGACCGTTCATACGTCGGCTCCCGTCCGGAGGCGTAGGATGGATGTTCGTTCAAGGGCTCCACGCGGGGAAGGCGGAGCACGACCCTACTACCGGGAAAACCAAAAGAAACAAGTTAAAGGAAAGGCAAAACGGGTTTCCGAATAAAATATCATCATGACTAAACATTCACTAGGTAATTCCCAGTCACGGCACTTTTCCTTTCTTTTTTCTCTTTCTCCGCAGTACTGTAGTACCGGTAGATGATTGATCGCTAGGTTCTCTCGACCGACGGGCTTTTCACATGTACTTGCGTACCGCCTCGCTTATCAAGCCCTGGAAGGAAAAAGGGGCATGAAATAAATACCTACCTTACCTAATACCCTCGCTCCTTCTCCCATCCTACCCTGCCCTGCCCCCATCCAAACAAAACAAACCAGAAGAAAAAAAGGAGAGGAAAGACATCTGCCCATCGATGTAAAAAGTCTACAAACACAAACTCAAACACAAACGCAAATCCAAAATATAAAGCCAACCATCCCCAAAATGCCCCCAGTCAGACAATTAAGGGTGGTTTAGTCCAGGCCGGGCTTCGTAAAAAGGGGTTTCTGCCAATAGGTCCCTCTTTTCGGTCAAATCGTATTTCGTCTGGCCCCACAAAAGTATCCTAAATACCTTGCGCGGGGAAAGAGAGGTACCTACACTGAATGCATCTTTGATTCATGCTCGGAATTAGCTGCAATGGTACCTCCCTCTTGTTACTTATCCGATTGTACGTCGGTTGAAAGTCAGTTGTTTCGAGTGTCCTTCGGTCAAAACTGACAATTGGACCTCTTGGTAGTCCTTCCATGGCACCTTTTATCGTTCCTTCCATGGCGCTGGTGGGGCTCTCCGTTCTCTCCGTTTTCAGCTTTGCAAGAAATAAGCGAAGTGGGTACCCGGGTACGTCTCGAGCTGAGCAGAGCAGAGCAAACAGAAAAAGATATTCATATGCATTCGCTCCTCGTTCACATTACTTGCTCTATGATGCAGGTGTCTATCCCTCGCGTAAACAGCAGCAGCAGCCATGTAAGTAGGTAATTAAAATAGTCGCTTAGTATCGATGCAGATGCAGCCAGCCAAAACTCCACGTGCAGATCGATACAGGTAGGTGCCTCGTTGATGCCTTCCATGCTCTCGTGGCATCCCCCGATTATTACGATCAAGAGTAGACCTCCCTCGTCTCGTTCCGTGCACTCTCCGTCAGCCATGCAGCCTCACTCGACAGCTAGCCCGGCCTTCTCCTTCGGGTCATACATCCGGAACTGCACGAAGATGATCGCATCCTCGGCCATCGTGCCCAGGCTGCCAATTAGCCATGGTAGGTTGGTCCAGATGTAGTCCTTCTCAAGCGAGTGCGCGAGGATAGAGATGCCGTAGGTGAAATTACCCATGAGCGAGAGGAGGAAGAAGAGGAGGGCGAGGCCTTCGCAGGATTTTTCACGGTAGTTTTTGACGATTTGGGGGATGCGGGCGCTGGTGTTGCTGTTAATACATTTTCTTGCGGAAGGGCGAGTTCGAAAAGTCAAGTGTTGGAGGAGGCATTTAGGACGAGGGTGGAGAGAAAGGAGGGAAGACAAACCCAAGATAGCACACCGCACTTATATATCCCAAAATCTTTGCTCCTAGTGCCGTCGTCTGAGCATCAACATCGTCCCCAGCACTAGGCGTGTTTATCGGCGCCCACACACCAGCCTGCCACGCGATGGCCCAACCGGCGGTCCCCACAAAGATGACGCCGACAATGCTAAGCAGGTTCTTGAGCCACGGCTGCATGCCAGCGTCTTCATCTCTCTCGAGGATTTTGGTCCCGGAATTGCGAGAGGTCGAGAGCGCGGAGGAGCGCCGGCGATGGGAGCCTGGGAGGCCGATTGTGTCACTGCTACGGTGGCGTTGGAGGAGGGGTTCTGCAGCATTGTGAATAAAAGTTCTCTCAACTATAGATCACGGGTTCTGGGAGTCCCGGGATCTTGAGTTGGGAATTCGAGGTAGAGGATGTACCTACCGTCTTCGGTAACAGCCGGCGCAACAGAGGGATGCCGAGCAGCATTCGACGAGTTGATGTGGTTGTAATACAGACATTGCGTGATGAGCACCACATCCGCAAAGCAGAAGTAGATGGCCAACGCAATGACCGTTGGAACCAAGTCGGCCCAAAGAGCTCCTGTTTGGATATGTAAGCACGTGACCGTGACTCGACTAGGGTTCGGATGATAGGTCGGGGAGAAGATCATCGCAGCTGAAGAAGCTTATGGTTCGATGCCGGGCTTTACCGTCGAGTAGGACATGACATACCAGATAGATTGGTGATGTCACCGATGAGCCAGACGCATAGGAAGGCGAGGGAGATGCCCTCGGCGCTGCCAGTCTTGTAGTTGAGGTAGAGCTGGGGAAGCTGTCACACCATCAGCTTGAATCACATCCCACCCTTTCTTTCTCTCCCGGTACGATGCGAGCGGAAAGTATATCCTCATATATGCCCGATGTGGATGTGGGTCAAGGATGCAGGACGGATCGAAATCCAATAGGTAGACGTACCAGCAAGAAAATCCAGGTCGCAAGACTGATGCTCCCAAACACGCCCGATAAGGCCTCCCGTACGGTGAGACTGTCCGACACGGCTCTCACGCCCATGATCCAAAAGGCTGACATCTTGTCTTTCTGAAGAATGTGGTTGTTGCCGGAGAAGAAGGTAAACATGCATACACTCACTCACTCACCTCTTGGAGGATCACGAGGTTTTTTGATTCGTCAAGCCTCGGCCTGCTCTGGTCGCGTGCAGTGTTTCCGCTTATGTCATGTCATGCTTTCGGATTCGAGAAGATGTGATTGGAGGAGACGGGCAAGGAGAGAAAATCGGAGTACCGGTACCGGTACTGGTATGCAGAGGAGATAAGAGAGATAGGAGATAAGCGAGATGAGAGATGAGAGATGAGAGATGACAGCCGATAAGCGCGCGCGGGGCTCCGTTTGAGCCGCATTTACTCGACGCAATGCATGACGCTATTGGGGTTGAGGATATACTTACATTCTCTTATTGACTACCGTATTGGCCCTCCCCTGGCTGATAAGTACAACTGTTTTTCCTCTTATCATCTATCTCATCATCCCGTCTCACCTCATCTTCCCATCTCATCTCATCTCATCTCATCTTCTCCTCCCTTCTCTCCTCTTCAATAGCCAAAGACAAAAGCCCTCCCGTACTTACCTCCGCCCGGCCCTTTCGATACCCAGTTTCTCCTCCTACTTGCACTTTCATTTCTCTTGCAGGATGCTCCAACCAAACTACCACATCCTCCTCCTCGGCGGCACCGGCCTCTGCGGCCTCATCTTCACCCGCCTCGCCCTCGACGCCGGCCACACCCTAACCCTCTACATCCGCACCCCCTCCAAGATCCCCGCCGACCTCGCCTCAAACCCAAATCTACACATCATTCAAGGCGAGTTTGGGGACGCCGAAGGCCTCAAGAAAGCCGCAGCATGTGGCGCCAAACTCTTCATCTCCTTCGCCGGCCCCACGCTGGGCGAGAAGAAAGGAACGGTATGTTATCTCCCCTCATGGAGAGTGAGTAGTGAGTGGGCGAGAGGATACTTTGCTAAGAACGAGAAAACTCCCCCTCCAGCCCATCACCCAAGCCCTCAAAACTCTCTACCCACACCTCCTCGCCGCGTCATACACGCGCATCCTCACCCTCTCCACGGCCTCCTACCCCGCGCCCGAAGACACGCGCTCCATCAAGTGGTGGATCGCCATCAACCTGTACGTGCGCGTCCTCGGGGGCGATTCGTACGACGAGATCCGCGGCATGGCGCAGGCGACGGTCGACCTCGGGGAGAGTATCAAATGGACGGTCTTCAGGGTGCCCTTGCTGAGCGGGGAGGAGGCGGGCGAGGGGGGAGATGTCGAAGCGTGTTTTGTGGGGGATAAGAAGGGGAGGGATGGCCTGTGGTTGGATCGCGGGAGGCTGGCCCGGTGGGTGCTGGGGGAGTTGGAAGAGGAGAAGTGGGTGGGGTTTTTGCCGCTGGTGTCGAACGCTTGATATGTTGGAGGAAGAGGGAAATGGGAAATGGGAAAGGGGGAAAGGGAGAAAGGATTGATACCCAACGGGAATATACTCAGTTTCATTGCAGCACGTTAAATTTTTGAAGAGAAGGGCCTGGATAGATGACGTGAAGAGAGCGAGGTTTATTGCTGGAGGATAGAAATTCGACTAGAATTGATTAGTCTGAAGAACGCCTGCCAGACTGTGTCCCTCCAACCATCAAAGCAGGTGAGTAGATCTGGAAGAAACCACCACCACCAAACCCAAATATCTCTCTCAATTTAATGCTAAAGACCTAGGAAAAAATTCAAAGTCAGGTACGCAATGCTTCGCCCGCCAACCAATCTCCACTGGGGGGAATTCCATACCCGGCATACCTAGTCAAATAGAGATAGATAACCACCTCAAGTTTTTCCCACCTTCTGCCTTGACTCTCTCTCTCTCTCTCTCTCTCTCTCTCTCCTCCTCC